CACTCCTGGCACCAGGACCCCAGCTCTGTGCCCTGCTCAGGTCTCTTGCCCGGGCAGGCCGGATCTGCACCAGCTCCTGCTGTACTCATCTCTATTTCTCCGCGTGGCAGGAGGAAGACGACGAGAACCTGTACTCCTCCATCCAGCAGCTGCGCGACCGTGCCAACGAGCTCTCCAACCAGGTGTCCAGCTTCGAGCGCAGCAACAACTGCGACTCCCGCTACCAGCAGCGACTGGACGAGCTGCGGGCGGCCCAGGAGCGGCTCATGGAGCTGACCGAAGTGCGCAACCGGAAGTGAGTCCCGTGGGGTCTCTAGGGGACTCCCACCCATCGGGCTGGGGCAAGTAGGGCCTCGAACCCAGCCCCTTCCCCGCTGCCCTGCATGTCTTAACCAACCCCTCTGTGGTGGCAGAAGTAGGGCTTTTATCCATTCCTGAGACCAGACGCTGTAGGCAGCATAATCCCACAAGCGTCCCCTTTCTGCAGCGATACACACAGATTCACAGAGCAGCGGGGCTGGAAGATCGCGTCTAGCCCACCCCCTGCCTGAGGCAGGATCGGCCCTGTCCAGACCCACCCAGACAAATCCATCATCTAACATCTTAGCAAAACTATACAGTCAGCCCCGACACAATGCAACATCACACCCAAACCTGCCACGGGTAAAGCAGGGGGGACCACAGCAGCCAATGTCCTGCTGCTGCAAAGAGTGCCAATGGCCTCCCTGCTCTAACAGGGGAGTTGTTTCCTGACCTCCACCCTACACCTCCCTTGCTGCAACTTCAAGCCACTGATCAATCCCAGCATGTTGGAAAACGTCTGCCCCGGCTGTCTCCTCCCAGGGGCTGGGTCTGCCCCTAAGGCAGCAGCTCTCGACCTCGTTAGACTCGAGGCCTCCCTTAGAAAGTGGCACCTCTTAGTTTTCACTCATTTTCTTGGCTTGCGGAAAAATACTAAGAGCAACTTTTCAGTTGCGAAGAGCTCAGAAAGCCCACGGCAAAGTTCCTGTTTGGGTTGATCTCGGGAATCCCATTTGCACGTGGAGCTGCTATCACGGCATGGCGCCAACATGACACCCATGAAAGGATCCCGTGGGAACCCCCGCTTGAGAGTCGCGGCCCTTGGGTCTCGCTTGCTAAGGCCCTGCTTCCTGCCTCTCCCCGCTGCAGGCTCATGGAGAAGAAGAAGCGGGATCGGCAGATGGCCAACAGGCGCAACTGAGCCAGCCGGGGGGCCCTCCGCTGCGGGGGAGCCTGGGGATTCCCACCCCCAGGAGATCCAGCCCTCGATCCCAGCCATCCCCAGACAGTCCCCTCTTCCATCTAGCTCGCTGCCCGTCGCCCTGCATCAGTTGGGGGGACGAGACCTCGGCTGCAGGGATCACAGGACCCGGAGCGACCTGGGCTGGGTTTGGGAGCTCGGGAGCTGCCAGCACCTCCCCTGATGTAACACCCGGGTGTCTCGAGGGGCTCAGGCAGACACTGAGGATGCCGGGAGCAGCAGCCCTGGGGCCCAAGCCACCGTGCAGTCTGGATCTACTCCCACACCATCAGTTTTAGAGGCTTCCACCATCACTGGAGCGCCAGGGTGATAGGAGCAAGGCAGGCGGGGATGTCTCAGGAGGTCCAAAGCTCTCATTCCCTATGGGTCAAGCAACAGCTGCAGCTCTGCGGCGTCAGCTTTGCAGAGCTGCCTGGACCCTGGGGGGGGCCTCAGCAAGGCCAGGTTGAAAAAGCAACAGTCAGCTCTGGCCCACTCAAGTCCCCCCTCGCTTCCACGAGTTCTCCGGGTGCCCGGTGCTTGCTCCAAGCCTGGCGTTTGGCGCTAAGCGTCACGTGCTGCGGCCCCTTCTGCATCTTCTAGGGCCCTAGGACAGCTGTGACTCCCTGCCTCTGCTCAGATGGGGCCTGCAGAGCTGCCCCAGGGGCTGCGGTGACAGGCACGTGCTGTGGGGCAGGGACCGTGCCCCATCCCTGCCAGCCTGTGCCTGAGTGGCGAAGAGCAGGAGCCTCTAGGGCTGGGGAGGGCGGCTTTCCAGACCCCGCAGGAGCAAGGCAGGCCCCTTCCTTGCCTTGTGACATCCATGGGAATCCCAGCCAGGCGCTGCTCCTGGCTGGTGCCGTCCCTCTCCCACGTGCTTCCCACAACTTGGGGATGGGGAAGCTGGGAAAATCAGTATCATGAGCCCCGCACAAGGCACAGAGCAATGCTGGGATCCAACAGTGAAGGAGCGGTGGCAGGAGCAGGAGCCCAGCAGGCTTAACATGGCTCATTGTGCACACATGGGCCAGGCCCAGGACAGCACTGTGATGCTGGGCAGGCAGGGACCAGGGGCCCTGCTGGCTCCTGCCTTGCCTGGGGCAGGGACACAAACTGCCCTCGAGGTGGGGAGGCTGCACACTGTGCCCCCAGCTGTCTGCTCCGTGGGCTGGGGGCAGCAAAGGCAGAAGCGGGGCCACGGACGGAGCTCTCCAGGCATCCGGCAGAGCGGGAAGATTTGTCCCTGGAGCTCCCCTGGAAATAGCTGGGCTCCCTTTCTGCCACGTGTATGTAAGGCAGAGGGCTACGCGTCCCAGCCAGACACAGGCCGTGAGCAGGACAAACATCCTGCATGAGGTCAGGACAGGGGCTGGGAGGAGGTCAGGAAGGGGGGCTCAGTGTGCGGCAGCAGGGAGGTTACCCTGGCACTGGGCACTGGGTAGGAGAAGGAAGGGGAGGGGGGTCCGGCCAATAAAGGGATCAGTTCAGCCACGGTCCCTGAGTCCCAGCACAAGCAGCTATGTTCAGCCAAGCCAGCGTGTTCTGGGGAGGTACGGCAGGCAAGTTCATCCTCTGCATAGAGCTGCTAGGGAATAGCTGCCACCTACCACCCCAGAGCTGGCTGCATCTCAGGGAGAGCCCTGGCACGACAGCAGCGGGGATCAGGGCTCCGCTGCACAAGCAAGTGGTGACAGACTCTCCCTCTCCTAGGACCTCACGGGGACAGGGGAGAGAGAGGCACGGAGGGGGAAGGGACATGCCCAGGGGCACTCAGCAAGTCAGTGGCAGAGCCAGAAAGACCCCAGGTATCCTGAGCTCCCCCAGTGGTCCGTGGCAGCCCATTTAAACAGGAAACGGTGGAGGTGTCTCAGGGCCAACTCCAGCCTGGAGCTGCTGCTGTTGTGCCCTGTTACACCCAGGCTGTCAGCCCCAACCTCCGTCTGGCCCACGCGGAGGGGAAGGGCAGAGGTTAGAGGCAAGGGGCTGCCCTGGGACAGGGAGCCGGCACCCCCAGGGTGTCAGTCAGCCTGGGGGGGCTTGGAGCTGATCAGGGAAGGGGGCACGGGCAGCAATATCAATGAAGCACAAGGGAGCCAGCAGCCCAGCGCCTGCCGCAGCTCCGGGCAGGCAGGGGCCAGGGCTCAGGCCTCTCGCTGTCAGGGCCACGCAGGGGGACAGGGCGTCTGGCTGGGGATCGGGCGTCCTGCCAGGGGATCCGTGTATTCTTTGTATGAAAATAAATCTATTTAGCCAGTATTTATACACACCGGCTTCACAGGCTTCATTTCTGCCAGGTTATCTGTTGTCCCGTTCCCCGCTCTGGGGTGGGCGAGGCAGTGAGGGGGGCCTCATGGCAGCTTGCTCCAGATGTTTCCCAACAGCTGTCTCCAGCCAGGCAGCCGCGAGCGGGCAGCCGGTCACTTAGGACGGCGAGTCAAAGGTGGCTGGACGCGAGGCCAGACTCGCTGCCCCACGGGTTTCACGGGCCACGCTGCTCGCTGGTCCCTTCCACATTATTTGGGCAGCCGCTTGGGGCTGCGGGGCTGGGCCAGGGGGTCATTAGGGGCCCTTAGCGGTACTCGGGGAAATGTTAAGCCGCCACAGCTGCATCGTGGATCTTTCTAATGTTCTCCGGGGGAAGTCGAGCGTGACAACGCAACCAGAGCCACTCCCCGCGCGACCGTCACCCCGCAAACAATGCTTCTTGCAAGCTCCGGCGGCCTCTAGCCCGCGGCCGCCCCAGCCGCCCCAGCCAGGCCTGCGCTGCCGCCTCCCGCCACTAAGGGGCAGCCGAGAGCGCCCGGCGCTGCCCCAACCCCCTATCCGAGCGCTGATTGGGCGCTTGGACACCCCGGCAAACCGGATTGGCTGTTAGAGCTGCCTGTCTGCGCAGGCGCCGCGTCGGCTCGCTCCTCCCGGACTCTATGGTGGCAGAAGGCGGAAGTGCGGCGATTTGGAGGTGAGCGCGTCAGTCCCGCGGG